AGGTTAAACAAACTACTTGATATAAAAGTAAAACCCATTAAGCCACCATTGGCAAATGCTATAAAGAGAGTTTCCTAGAGAGAAAAAGTGTGAGGGTGCACCTATTTGTTCCTTTTTCTCTAAAGTTTATTTTCCTTCTGGCTTGAAATTTTATTTCTTTTGAGAGCTATGTTTTGTATTTGTGGGAGAATTTGGATCTCAAATACTGTGTTGAAACTTAGTGTTACTAGTTGATGTGCTGGAGTAGCTTGCCTCTCGCTTGGAGTAGAGGGAATGTAGGATTACTCCGTTGCCTATGAAGGAGAGGCTTATTTGCCTTGTTGACATTCCGAGGATCACTTAAAAACTCGAGTAGTGGAAATAGACCATTGGTGCCAAATCACTATACATTAGTTTGTACTGTTTTACTTTATGCATTTTTACTTGCATCTTTTACATGCTTTTATTACTTTGTGATATATTGAAAAATATTGTTTTACAAAGCTTGCATGTGATATATGATCTGAAAATAGTTATTAGAAATAAATGAGCAAGTATTGTTTATTTATTTATTTAAAGAACGCGTGTTGTGAAAGTATGTCAATAAATATAAATAAAATATTTTCGTTTCGTTGCTGTTGGATTAGAAGATTTTGTTTGAAAAACTCTTGTTTGGCTCAAAAAGGAAAAAGACAAAAAAAAATCAAGATCAATTTTCAACAATCACACCAATTAACCCTTCTCTCAAGGTGTGCAATTATTTTTTATTTCATGCTTTAATTTATTTGAGTCTCACGAGAAGGCATCATCACGTGATTAACAAAACATTGGGGTGTGAAACATTTCACATGTGCAATGTAAGTATCATATATGTGTTTCCAAAAGATTCTAATAGAAAACTCGTGGGTTGAGGTTTCACATGCATATACCTGCATTGCGAGCATTTGAGTGTGAATCCGGACAATACAACTCCTAGATATTCATCTCAGAATATCCTAACAGTAAACTAGCTCGGGCCAATATTCCAAATACCTTGCCTTTTATAATGAGCTCTAGCATTTGGCATTCGAGGGTAATATGTAGAGATTCACTACATAAATGATTTTGGTAGAAGCTAAAGCTTCATTCACAATTTTTTTATTGCCATGACAATAGTTGCCATTTACATGTTCCTATTGAGTTAAACTCGGAGGTAGTGATAATTTATAATTTTCATGCTCGTTGATGAGCCATGGATGCTAAATGCATTTTTTTATCATTTTTTGTTTTTTTAATATAAATTGTAGTGCAATTTTAGGTTTTTTTTATTGTCTCAATTGTGTTTTTGTACTTCTTTTTTCATCAAATTTATGTGATTTTCATCCTAAGTGCATGTTTTTTTTTTTAACTTCAGGTATTTTTTGGGTAGATTTTAGCATCTTCCACTTAGGGCCCCTTTGGGGCAGCTTATAAGTGCGGCGGCGTTTTCGCACTGTTCGTTTCTCGCGTTTTAGGTGAGTTTTTAAAAATCGCGTTTTCTATTTTCTATTAGATGCGGATCGCGGGTATACCCCCGCGATTCTACCCGCGATCCGCATTCGCCCTTTAGCTTTTACTCCCGTACCCTCGCTAAACCCGATCGTAGTCGATCCTGCCTCCGTCACCTCCGTCACTACCCAAATTTGCTCTGCTGGGAAGAAAATTCCTCTCCTCCCTCCTCTTCCCCATTTGGCCGTAGACCTAGGCATGCCGAAAGCGGAGCCGAAGCACGAGGAAGAGATTGTAGGGATCTCTGGTGCAAGGAGGCTCTAGCCGGAGGGGAGTCTCTCCGACGGTGGGGAGTTTTAAGGTAAGATCGGGGAATGGCAGCTGCCAGGAAAAAGAGGATTTGAAGAAGAGGGCATGTGATCAGGTCAAAGGGGAAAGTTCAGAACAAGAGGAGGAAGAGCCCGTTGAGGTCGGAGACGAAGTGGGTGATGTCGAGGAGGTGGAGGAGACAGGAGTGGACAGACGTAATAATACGACTAAACAATTTGGATTTAACGTTGATCCAAATGTCCTCGACTGCCCTATCTGCTTCGATCCCCTGACTCCGCGCATTCATCAGGTCAAAATCCCTCCACCTTTCTTTCTTTGTACTGGATTTGGAAGACCTTCGTTTTCTTTGCTCTTTTCTCTATGAATCTTCCATTCTGTCACTGCTACATTAACTGCTTGCCTCATCTGATTGACACAAGCCATATGTGGTATCCTACATTTGTCCTTTGAGTAACTTAAAGGTTTTGAGCACTTTGAAAACTGTTTGTGCTTCTATGTTCTGATCTTTGTCATCTTCTTTTTCAATCATTTCAGCTTTATTCTATTTGCTTGCCTTGTTTATTGCTGACTTTTTCATTTCTTGTTTGACTACACATTAGAAAGTTCTTATTTTATCCCTTTAAATTTACGTGTCAATGGCTTCGTTGTTTGTCAACTTTCAAATTATGTAGTATTACCAATGTAATTGGTGTCTTGTAACTTCTTTTTTAAGTCTTTATAATTGCTCCCATGTACAATGTGCACCATGTTCATGTTCTATTTGATTTTGCTAAAGAGCATGTTCTCATTATTATCTTGAATTATAAGAAATTATAACATAGTTGTACATTGTCACTAGGTTGGATTTAAATGATCATGATTAATATAGATCAATTACATTAATGTATATATTTTTTTTTCGTTTTTTAAGAGCTATTGAATGATCTGTGTATATTCATTCCAAAGGATGAATATGGCATGAACTGCATGCTCTGTTTAAATACTTGAGTAGACTTATTAGTTAATGTAAAAAGTAGGATAATTTCGTACTGTTATGAAATTTGTGTATCTACTGAGAGTAATGAACATGTAAGAAATTGAACAGCTAAACAGCTTATCCACAACAGGGGCAGACTAGTCATTTATCCAAAATCAGCTGTTTTCCAAACGCACAAACCAAACAGCTAGCCAGCTTATCTGGATCAACTGCTCCTCAGCAGATTATCAAGATAAGCTGCTTATCGACATAAGCTGAATAAGCTGCAGCTGCCCCTTAATCTTATGAAGAGGTATTAAACTTGCAGAGCCTTATCACCATTGCCAAAAAAAAAAAGGATTTTAAGGGCATTATATGGGACACAACAATCAAAATTGGTTAGAATTTATTTTAGGGAAGAGGGCAGGCCCTAAAATGGTGTTTAAGATAGGCAATTAGAGAAGGAATGCCCAACCTTTGATTTTTGGGGGAAACAAGAGATTTTTTCCCATCTTCATTATTCTATTTTTTATTAAATAATATTTTTAATTCAATTTTTCTATCAATAATAATTTTTTTAATCTTTTTTAGTTATTAATTTTTATTATTCCATTTTAATTTATTATTATTATTTTCTTCAAGGAAATTTACATTCATACCACACAATTCCTGTGTATTTATATATCTAACACCCAAAGTTTGATATTTACCCTTTTAAATCTGTCATGTCTTCAACTTATGCATGAAAGGTGTATTTTACTTTTAAAAACATAGTGATGGTGGTATTTTTTATATGATGTTAGTGGTATGCATGTAAATATAAATGTTTAGATGTTAGATGTGGACATTCATTGGAATTGTGTGTTATGTATGTACATGCCTCTATCTTTGTTATATATAAATTATTATCATTATTATTCTTTTATATTATTTTATTCTTCTACCTTTTTTTTTTAAAATATATATGCATGCTCGTGAATTCCTTGTGAATTCCCGCTCCTCTGGATGGCTCTTGTTTCCTTGTGCCATATGCTTCAAGCCTATTTGGCCGACAAAAATTGATGATGTATTTAGGATGTTTTACTTCATTTCTCGTGAGGTTGCTTTTCTTCTTTTGCCACTCATCACATCCCATCGGGTGACTTGTGGATTATGCATGAAGGTTAACATCTCTCTCTCTCTCTCTCTCTCTCTCTCTCTAAATATGTGTTTACTGTTCTGAGATTGTAGGCTATGGCAAAATAAAATATCATTTTTAACATTGCTTTTCCCTTTTATGCTATACCCACTATTAATCCATTTATAATAAATCCCAATATAGCATATATTTATTCGAGTCACTCGCAATGAATATTTTTCTTTTTCAGTTGTTTGTTCTAGTAGTTATTTTATATTTTTCACAATTGATTTCTTAAAATTGTATTTTAATCAATTTTTGGAGGAGAGCGCTAACCATTTTATCAGATTCTCATAGATAATTATCTTAATAGAAATCATCATATTACTTAATTTATTCGCCCTGACTATTAACCTTCAACTTTTTATCTACTATTATCTTCAACCTATTTCTATTGTTAAACTTTTCAACGTACATTAACTAACTTATAAACTTCTTATTTCATTAGATTTTCTCTCTTCCTTTCAATATCTTACAATCTAGCAAATTAATTAATGTTGGATATGCGTTTAGGCTTTATAACTTCTGCTTCCCTGTACCTGCAGTCGGCCATTTATATCGATGCATGGACCATGGAAGAGTAGTATTAAGAGTCTTCATCGACAGCGTTTGGATGATATATATTATTATGTGTAAATATTCTTTAGAAGCATTTGGGTGCATTACACCCAATTCTTATTTATTTGCATATCTTAAACTTATACCTAAACTTTGAGTTATAACATTTATATCATTCAACTCTTTCATATCACATCAAAAATATTACTATTTTAACTTTTAAAATGTGAAATATACCTTTTCATACATTGGTAAGGTGGCATGTATGTAAAATTGAAGTTTGTGTTAGATATGTAAAAATTGAAGTTGAGTGGTATGCATGTAAATCCTCCTATTTTTTATTAGTCAATCTCAACAACTTCTAGGAAGACAACAATGATTGCGTTTGGGTGGATTTTCTCATAACGGCTTTGTCTTTGGAATACAGTTTACAATATCCTCGCTTCTTTTGCAATTTCTCTTTTTAATTCCCCATCACACTTCTTTTTGGTTCCACTTTTAGATAAACTTCATTCCTGTTTTATTCTTCTTCAGTACTATCTAAAGACTGGAACATGCAAATTTGGACCTACGTGCAAGTTTCATCACCCCAAAGATAAGGCTGGAATCACAGGAAGAGTTCAACTGAATGTTCTAGGCTATCCCCTTCGCCCTGTATGTAATTCCTATTTATAAAAAGTGTCAAAATAGTCCTCTGTGTATTTACATGAGGCCATTTTATTCTCAGAGTTTATAAATAGTCAAATAAGTCCTTAAACTCTTTAAATTTTAGGATGTAGTAAATGAGTTTTGGGACTAAACTGGCATTTTTATAGGCTTTGGAACTAAAAGGACCTTCTGCAACTATTTTGACATTTTACTCATTTATAATACAATATACTTAATCTCTTGTATTGGCATATTTATTTCATTGCCCTTTAATCTAACGTATAATTTGATTCTTCAAATTTTATCTAGAATGAGAAGGAATGTGCATATTATTTAAGAACTGGGCAGTGCAAGTTCAGCAACACCTGTAAATTTCACCATCCTCAGCCATCTAATGCAATGCTTTCCTTGCGCGGTTCTCCAGTTTATCCTTCCGTACAGTCGCCAACAGCTGGTCAGCAGTCCTTGACTGGGGCTCTAACAAATTGGTCCTTGTCTAAAGCTTCATTTATAAGTCCTCGTTGGCAAGGATCTTCAAGCTACGCACAACTCATTCTTCCTCAAGGATTGGTTCAAGTTCCGAGCTGGAGCTCTTTTCCTGTAAGCCTGCTTGGTCCTTGTGAATTTAATGTTGGGGCATCTACATACTTTGCACACAATTCTTATGTATTTGCATATCTCACTCCTAATTTTTTGTATTTGTGCACATAACACTCAAATCATTAATATTACATAAAAAATAGCACTGTTGCCATTTTTTTTAAAAGTGTAATACACTTTTTCATGCATAAGTTTAAAGCACCAAAGTTCTATGTATATAAATGTGAAAGTTTAGTTGTGAGATATGTAAATACATAAGAATTGTGTGCCACACATGTGAATTTCTCTTTGATGCTTATTTAGGCCTGGACATTGTTTGGTTAAAAGGTCATTGTTCGTGTTTGTATGCCATTTATGCATATAATGCTTTTTTTCTTTTTCTCTTTCTATCGCGGTGGTATGCTTTTTGTAGAACTTGATTTGTTAAAGATAAGTTGCACTTTGCAGGTGTTTTTGTATGGGCAATTGGTGTTGCGAATGGCCAAATTCACTCAGATTTTCTGAGAATCTATTGATGTTAAAACTTTGCATCTGAATGACATTAATTTGTCCCATTTTGATAGCATTATCTTAGTTTTTTTTTTTTTTTGAACTTTTGATTGAGACATACTTGTAGCAGTTTACATCTAATTTATTTGAGTTTTTCTCTCTTTTAATATTTCTCCTAAGTTGCTAGGGTTATTCTCTATAAATAAATAAGTCATTGAAAATTTATTTGAACAAGTTATTTTTTCATGGCAATCTTGGTTGAAATTATTAGATAGATTTTTACTTCTAATGATAAGTACTGATTATGGGAAAAAAAATAGATGATCTTATTCACCAGATAATGTTGCCTATTTATAGGAATTTAAGATGAATATAAGAAGCAAATAAATATGAGAATAAATGTAATTAAGTGAGAATCAATAGAAATTATTCCAAACCATACACACTTCTTAATATAGGGCGTGCTTGTTTGGGCGTTTTGAACTGTCTTTTGAACCTAACCTAAAAATTTTCCTTTTGAATAGAGTGTTACACCAAACGCAAACCAAACCGCAATGAAATTTTCATTATAATCGCGACTGCGGGCCTTTGGCCGCGTCCCGTGTTCAAAATTTTATTTTGTTCGATGAAGCATAGGGTTTTTGTTCGCGACCCTTAAGATAATTATGCCCTAGCTTGTTTGCACACTTCCTGTTCGCAAGAACACACGATCGCGACTGGATCTTCACGATTCCCTGCTGTCGAGACCCCTAGGTAAGATTCTCACGATCCTTTGGTTTTCCCTTCTTCATAATCTCGAATTTGTATGGTTTACGATGCTTCGCTGTTGGATCTTTTTGCCATATTGTATAGTCTCGGCCATCTACAAGGATTAGTTAGATGAATCATGAAATTCTTTGATTTTTATTCTGCTGCCAGAAAATGAATTCCTCTTAATTTCTTTTTATTTCTTTTTAACTTGTTTTTGAATGATCCTAATGGTTATGCTGTAAGATTTTGGCGCCCTTTCAATAGATTTCCTAGTTGCTACAATTCTGTTCTGTTGTAATTTTTTTGCGACTTTTTAAGAAATTTTAGTGGTGAGATTGAACTTCTACAATGAAAATTCGACCAAAATTCTGACTTCTGCTTGTACTTAAAGAGTGGTATTTCAGATATTTATCAACAGACCACTTTCAAAACTGAATTTTTCATACAGAATAATTGCTTCTTAAACACCAATTTTTAAACAGAAGGTTTTCCAGAACTATTTAAGAACTGAGGTTTCATACAGCCACAAGTGTCCCAAACGCACCCAACATGCCAACTCTCTTTTAACTAGAGCATATATATTTTGTTAGATTCAGTTTATTGTACAAGTGAGATGATAAGGGGAACCATAGGTTTAATAAATACATCTGCGATTATTTTGAGCTAGAAATATGAGAACAATATTCTTGGAATGAACATCATCCTGTGTAAATTGACAATCAATCTCTATTTGATTTGTTCATAAAACATTGCGCTATTGGCAATGTATATAATTGCATGATTATTGCAATACAAATCCAATCCTTAAGCTAGAATATTAGAAAATTGATTCTTCTAATAGTTTTGGCCCACATCAACTCACATTTAGAATGACCCCCATGGCTATATTTTGCTTTAATGGTAAGTCTGACTATAATATTTAACTTCTTATTCTTTTAGATATGCATGTACCTCTATACCTATGAATAATGGTTACCTAGAAGTTTAACTTTTTTATCATTAGCAGATTCAACATAATCGATATCAATGAGTGCTTGAATATTTAAGTCCCCAGTCTAAATATACAACCCCTTTCAGGATCCTTATTGATGTATCTAATAATGCAAATAGTAGCATCCCAATGCTTTTGTTTTGATTTTTGCATATGGTGACATAACCTCAGAACGAATTGATCTAGCCATGTAATTGTCCTATATACTAATTTTTCAACTAATCTTCAATACTAAGATTATCAAATGGCTTTCCTCATCATTGATGATTAGTTTATTTGTTGGGTTTGTTGGTTTACACTATAAAAAGTCAATTCCTCATATGGAGATTACTAGTATATTTTCCTTCAAAAGGAGAAACTGTTTTTTCTTGTTTCAATTAAATTTAATCCTAATTAGGTATTTAGATCACCATATATCTTGGGTAACAAAATAATTAAGTTTTGCTTTACTTTAGATAATCCTTCTTCGTCGCTCCTAATAATGACTAATTTGCTATCTATATAAATCGCCAACATAACTTTGCCGGTTGTTGAATTCATTACAAAGTTAAAATAATTGAAGATACTGCTTTCATGGCCAACTTCTGTAAGAATTTTGCATGATTTGTCAATCCAAGCCAGTGGCCTTCGCTTGCATCCATTTCTAGATGAGCCCATAAATGGCATATTTAAGGTGTATATATGATGGTATATTCTCGAAAGGATCCTTATGAAAATTAGACAATAATATTAGGTGTTCTAGGTAAGGATTTTTTAATTAAAATCAAATATATTAAGTTGATAATATTATAAGTATATCAATGACATTTATCAAGAATTAATATATCATTTGGATCGTACAGTTTGCAGTTTGGTTAAATTGGGAGGGTGTTGATAGATTTTTTTTTTTTGGCTTTCTGCACCTTTTAATATGTCTGCACCTTTTAATATGAAACATATGGAAACTTTTTATCCACCAGAAAATCTACACTCTGAATGTTCTAGCCAGAATCAGATACATGTTATGACAAATAACTTTGTTTTGTTCATCGATGAGAAGAGGTCTAGGTATTTCCAAATTTGTAGAAAACTCGGTGATATTATTAGCAACAGATGAAGTGATCAACATCAAGCAGCTTTCAAGAGCAGGATTATCAACCAGTTCTCCTGAATAGAAATTGATTCTGGCATCATGTTTTGAGTACAAAACTAAAAAAGAAGAAGGGTAATATCCTAACAAATGGTCATCAGGTGGACGATTTTATGACTGAAACTGAGAATTTTTTAGCTCAGGGCGAGCCTTGAAATAATAAGAGAATTTGTCCAAAAATATGGCAAAAGATGCATCTTGAAAGAATGTCATGAAAGGTCACCTTTTTCCTTATATTCGAATGATGAAGATCCAATCCACACCTTATGGAATCGGGTAGTAACATCCTTTTTCACTAACACTAGCCACTAAGACCCCAATGCCACGATTTATCATAGCATTCATTTGTACAGGTTCTTCAAAGATTGAAACCATGAACAATATTGTAGACTGGTTAACGTAATGCAAAAGAAGTCGTGAAAATGAGATTCAAATTAGAGTGATGAGACTCCATGAAATAATCAAAATTGAGTGAACATTTTAACATTGGTATCAGGAACCCATTAATGTATTATGAACGCCTTGATAATAGGATGATATAATATACTTTTGAAAAAAGCTTTATGTAGACATGCTGAGGTTCAATTAACATAACAAGGTAGTTACTTAACAATTGTAAATTGGTCACACACTTACGAATTATATCCATGGCTAGGTGACCCATGGGATATTTGTTAATAGGAGTGGATCCTAGTAAGCATGTAAATTTCCACATTAGAAAAGAGAAGATAGGCTTACCTCGAGAAGATGAAGACTCTGTGTCGAGTCTTCAAATTCTGATGAAAAAATAACCAGAAATTATTAAATTTGGAGGGGGAGAAATCCGCACCATTCAAATTATAAAAAACTTTGCAAAAGTGCATGGAGGACGAGCTGAAGGAGGTTCAACCATTGTTGAGGAAGCGAAGCGACCTCTTAAACATTATGGCTCATAAAGGAAGGAGTTGGTGATCTCCGTGTATGTGGTGGGGTGGGTATTCTCATGAAAATAATGCCAATTAAAGTATACAAATGTTCAATAAGATTTTCATAACATCTATATATTTTATGAATTCGAGAGTGCCCACGAAAAATATAAAGTGGCATGTAGAGAGAGTTTGTCATGTGGGAAAAAGATAAAGTAGAAACAACCAAATGCTTGAAAAGCAAGAGAAACTTTATGTAGATAGGAAAAAAGAATGCTAATCAATGATTGATTTTTGAGTAGTGTAGAGAGAAAATAATTAATAAGCTAAAAAAGCAATTAGGACTAAATTGTGAAATCCCTCAAGTTAAATGAAGTTAAAGTCTTAAAAATTGAGACACCTTTAGGTGTAATAGTTAAAATTTCATCAGAAACTCCAAAGTTAACTATTATCGTGCCGGAGCACCCTTGGGATGGACAAACTCTTAGGATGTTACACTGATGAGACAAAACCATGAGACCATTAGAACAGCCCAAACTTTGCATATCGAGATATTGTCTGCTTTGGCTTAGATATGCAGCTGTTACATCTAAAAATTAGCAGGGCAGTTCATTTGAAACACAATTGTATTGGATCCATTAAGGAAATGATGTTTATTTTATATGATTTCATTTTGTTGAGAGGCATACGGGCATTTGGTTTCCTAAAAAATGCCTTCTTAAAAGCAAACAAAATGAAATTGTTTTTACTTGTATTCTAAAGCATTATTAACTTGTAAAACTTTTAGAACTATGGAAAACTAACTTCAATTTTTTAAAACAAACTTGTGATATACAATAAAGACTTTTTACTAATGTTTTAATAAACATACCATGATAACTTAAAATGATAAAAGTAACAAAATAGTTAAACCTTGAATGAGTTAGAATAGTAGTACTCGGATCCCAAATATCATGCTTATCAATCGAGCTTTGGCCTGGTGGTTCATACCTTTGCTTCTATTTTTTAGGTCATGGGTTCAAGCCTCCACTCATCATAATTATATTATTTTGTGAAAAAAAAGGAGTGTTGATCATCTCTTGTACTAAAAGTTTATCCATTTTTTTTATCTCTATATCAGGTCGTGTGCCCCCTTTTTTATATAATATATGAGAAGACATTACTATTTAATCATTAAAATGAGCTAAAAAAAGGAAGAATACAATGATTAGTGGATGGTGGAAGTGACAAGGTTTAAAAAACTAGATCTAACCAGTCGGTTCGGCCACGAACCGATCACAAGTCCCATTGTATTGCTCTGAAACCCAATGAACTGCCTATTCAACCGCCAAAGTGGAGAACCTGATTGTCTTCCCTATCCCGCTCTCTTGAGCTTGCAGTTCGTTCGACCTTCCCAGATCTAGTCCGTCGTTTGTCGACCATTAGTTGGTGTCTCACCGCTTGTTTGTCGGACATAGTGACGTGGGGGCGTACGCGCGTAACTTCACTCGTGAAAGGCAGGCGACCCGCCTGCTTTCTTGGACAGAACATGTCCAAATTTGTTCCCTTTTGAGGAGTCGGGCGGTCCTCTTGGGCTACTCATTGTTATCCTATTATTATATATTTGCTCTCGTGATATTTTAGGGCAGTTTTTCATGTCTTTTGATCGGGATAGCCGCCAACATCTCAGGTTTTCCTTTCTACAGCTGTATTCAATAATCAGGTGGTACTTTGGTTGTATCTTGCTCTCGAGGTGGTGATTATCCTTCCATCCATCCTTCCCACATTGCTCCCCATCGTTCCCGGTCGTCCTGCCCTCCTGCTGTCGTCCAAAACAACCACCTCCTCACTGTTTTATACAGTTCTGCCTTGCTGCCACCTTCTAGAACAAGCCTTCCACCCTGCTGCTGCCTTTCAAACCCAGCTTTCCACTTCCCAGCCGCTTTTCCTTTCCCTTTCTACATTGCTGCCGCCGAAACAGCTCCTTTCCGGCCATGTTCCTACTGCTCTGGCCCTCTCAGCTTGCCGCCGATGCCCAGGACAGCCAGGGATCACTATCTTCCTGCTGTTCCACTGCTACTTTCCCCAACTCCTTGTTGCCACCTTCCAGGATGACAACATTCTTGTCGTTCCCTGTAGTCTCACACCTCCCTCTCGCTACTATTGACACCCCTTTGCTACCGCCACCAGACCCTTCCACGCCCCTAACCGCCACCACCCACACCTGTAGATCTAACCCTTAGCTTGAATTGTGTTGTCAGTTGTTGTAATTTCAGATTTATGTGTGTTGGTTGTAATTTTTTATTTGATTTCAGTAATAATATTTATTTTCCGTTTTTGTTTGGTTACACTCCGGTATCACACAGGTATGCTTTTTGGTTTCGCACCTCACAGTTTGGTTAAGGCTCTCCTGTTTGGGCTTTCCGTTTGGTTTTGCACATCCCAGATTATGTTGGATTGGGTTGGTTGGAAAGATGATTTGTTAATCTTTTTTGTTCACTTTTCATGTACATTATTGTTTGTTACAAATGTTGATCAGCATTGTATTTCTCCATTTTATTTATTAAAAATTATGATTTACTACAATTTTTTTTTACATTCAGCTTTTTTTTATACATATGTAATGATGTGAATTTTGCACATTGCAAGTTGTTTTTTGATTTAGTAGGTGTGGAGAGGGGAAAAAATTGCGTATGATAGACGTACGCAGCGCTGCGTACGATTTTGAGATTATGTCGAGCGTATAAGTGAGTTATATCCGCGGTATAACTCCTTGTAACTTTCATATAACTTTCTGTAACCTACTTGTAACCTACAATAAGTTCTGCACTTATTTTATCATATATTAAGAATTTATTAGTAGGTTACAGTTAAGTTACATAAGGTTACATGGATGTTACAAGAGGTTATACAGCGGATATAACCCCCTTATACCCTCGTTATAACCTCAAAATCGTACGCAGCATTGCGTACGTCTATCGTACGAAAATTTTTTCCGTGGGAGGGGAGTCCTATTTTGTGAATTTTTTTCCCGAGGATGTAATTTATAAAAATATTGAGTTGGGGGCTCTGAATCTTCATAAGGAATGGTTGTTGTGTAGATTGTTCATGTTAAAAAAACAAAAAAGAAAAGAAAAAAGCTTATTCGGTAGCTTATGTTTTTGTGTTATTTTCTTTTCCGCTTCCCGGTTCCACTGTTTTTCCTTTCTTGTTACTTTCTTATAGGCTTTTGCATACCTCAGACAGATGCTTTCAGATTGTAGATGTGAATCCGGAATCAATTAGTTAGTTTTGCACATCCCTAATTTGCACTGCCTTAGCTAACAAAAACTTGGAATGTATTTAATTAGAGAGAGTGGCATTTAATTTGGGCTATATGCTTGGTTTAGTTTGTGAAAAATTCGTTTGGAATATTTGCATACATACCACTCAAATCTTATGGATTTACATATCTAAAAGTTAAACATATCTCAAGTGTATAAGATATGTAAATACATAAGTATTTTGTGCTAGTTATGTAAAAAATCCCTTTTATTTATTTTTCTAGGTTAATTTGACGACATTTTAATTTAGATGTCTCTTTTACCTTCAGGGACAATTTGGATCTGCTTCATCTACTGAGAACCAGCAACAAAATTCTGGGGCTGCTCAGTTCTTTGGAGCATCACACCAAACTGAAACAAGCACAGTTTCTTCTCCATCATTTTCTTCTTTCAGATTTGGTTCGGTTCCTATGGGGCAGTATGCGTTGCAGAGGGATAACATATTTCCCGAGAGACCCGGCGAACCTGAATGCCAATTCTATATGAAAACAGGGGATTGTAAATTTGGCGCAGTTTGCAGGTTTCATCATCCCCGGGAAAGACTAATTCCGGCTCCCAACTGTGTGCTGAGCCCGTTGGGCCTTCCGTTACGCCCGGTAAGCTAGTCACTCACATTTATGATTTCATTTGGAAGATTTGCATACATACCACACAATACTTTTGTATTTACTTATCTAACATCTAAACTTAATTTTTACATACATCTTCTCTATGCATGAAAAGGTGTATTTCACTTTTTAAAATTTAAAATTGTGGTTTTTTTAATATGATATGTAATATTTGGGTGGTATAATTGTAAAATTAAACTTTAGGTGTTAGATATGTAAATACATAAGAATTGGGTGGTATGTATGTAAATGTCCCTTTCATTTTTATAGTGGCGTATGCTGCCGCATTATCATATCTATGTAGGAAGAGTTTTGTCCATACAACATAGACTAGTAATTATACATCTATTTTTAAAGTCTTTTAGGGATAATGATTAAAAGAGGCACTTTTTCAGGATTGAAATGTCAGAACTTGAAAGGTGATAATTTGATGTTTTGAGATGGATTAACATGAGGTAAGCTAGAATTGTTTAGTTTGGCCAAACTCATATAACGTAAGATAACTAATTTCATTATGAAGATTTCCAGAGAAGTTTTAGTTGAGTGTAGAAATATGTGTAGATCGAGGAGAAGACGTTGTGATTACAATGGTTAGTTAGCAAAATTAGTAGTATTAAAGAGTGGTCAAGATTTAATATATTTGAGGCTTATAATGATTGTAAAAAGTCTTCCATGGTGTATAATGAGTAAAACAAATCTTATGATTTTTAATTATATATGTAATAGGATTGGTATTAAGGAAGAAAATAAGATAAATTAAAATTGTTAAGAGATATGAGTGTGTATGGACATTGGATGCATTAGAAATGAAGAAGATATGATAACAAAATGATGTAAGAGTAAAATGTAATATTTAAGGACATTTGTGATGCTTGAAATTGAGTTGCACCATCAAAAGATAACCTAACATACCCTTGACTGATATTATCCCAATGACACAGCGATATGCGATATAAATTACACGATTGTTTAAGGTGGAAATGTTTCTACTTCTAATCGATATTCTCCCTTCAGTACAGCGGTTAACCATCTAAATATCACAATTGTTTGAGGTGGTATAAAAACATTTATGTGTGCGGGCACACTGGCCTTGCCTATAATATAAGAGGGTGAACTCCTCTTAACATCAAAATATAAACTTTCATGTATATAATATTTACATTTCATTCTTCATAGTACACGTTATTTTATTTTACATTCATCTACTCATCAATAAGTGCACATTTACTAGAATCAAAATGAACTGTACTATTCTAATAACTTCATATGTAAACCATTATACAATATTTATGCATTACTATTAACATGCATATTTTTAAAGGTCATTTAATATTATACTGCATGCATCTCTATTAGAAGCTAAAAACATGCAATAATTTGATAATTTTATAGGTAATTCATTGTGCAATTTTTTGACATGTGTATTTTATTATCTTATAAAATGAAGAATCTATTATAGTTTAAATTTATTGGAGTTGAGCATAATTGAAATTAAGTATATATTTAAAAATAATGAAAATTATTGAAATTTAGCAATTTAATTATTTACATAAATTCTAGATGATTTTCTTGCTCTTAACTTTCGACATCTCTTTAAGTTAACACCTATAATATATAAAATATTGCATTTAAAAAAATTATCTCACATTACTTAATTATATTTTAGTTATTTGTATTTAAATTTTCTCAGTTTAATTATGAGTTTAAATCCTTAAATTTTAATTTTAATTATTGCAATTAATACTAATATTAAATAACAATAATTTAAACAAATTATATTTTTGAAAATTAAACTCTAAAACCTTTTATGTTAGTTTATATTCTTTTGCACAGATCACTAATCTTGATGTCATCTAGCGGTTTAGTTTGCCTGGTTGACCAATTTTAATCATTGATATTAATTACTATAATTTAATATAAGTTAATAACATTTAATTAATTTAACATAATCATCTATATAAATAAAACCACAATCTTGTCTTCTCTGTTTACACCGTTGTAACTCGTCTCTGCACTATGGGTTTGATTCGGCCTCCATTTCTTTCTTTGTGCGATTCAACTCTTCCACCTGTACCCAGATCAACCTTTGACCTCCCCTTCTTTTTTTCCTCTTCGTTTTCTTCCTTCACCTTTGGGCGCATGCAGTAATGTTCCTAGGATTTTTCTTTGGTTCTCCACTTTTCGAACTAAACCCTCTTTCCTTTTCCTGCACACAGAATCACGCACGGAGTTAATCTCCAAGCCCATGATAAGCTTCATCCTCGTCTCCTTAACTATTTGGCTAGGGTTTCCAACACACAACATTGACTTCGAAGCCCTAGATATACATGAGTTTTCTTCTTTCGGCCTCGACTTCGACTTCTACTGCTCCTCCCGCAAGGACGACACCTCCCCATTTCCTTCTAAGAACAACCAAATGTGATGTCTCGACATTACCTCGACCAGGGTTCTTCATCTTCTCCTTTCTTATATTTTTCTCGTTTTTGCCTCTTGCTTTCTCTTTCTCTCTAACTCCCTATCGCTTTCTCTCTCGCTGGTTCGAATGATGGGAAATATGGATATAAGCGTTTGTTTTGGTTTCTCTCGAGTGTCGCGTGTCCTTCGAACTACATGTATTATTTATTTATTTTAACACATTCTTACAAATTGTATGCTGAAGTTATTGAAAATATGTGTGTGGATTGTTGACTTCTATTAGAAGTAGTTGGAATAATTAAAGAGTTTCCAATTATTATGCAACTACATAGAGATAATTTTTTTGTATTTATTATGAAGGTGTTTATAAAGAATATTTAAAGTGGGATCCTTTGGTGTATGATTTTCTTAGATAATACAGTTGTAATCGATGTAACATCTATAGAGTAAGTGAAAAGTTAGAATAATGGAGAGTATATAGAATATTGAGGATCATAATTAATATATAAGAAATTCGGGTATATGTTATGCAATTTTAATTGGTGTGAATTTGTGATATCAACAATTATCAGTCAACATTATTAAAGTGAGAATATAGATAGTGATATGACCATTAAAATTAAGGTTAAGTGGTTAAATTGGATAAGTAGCTCAAACCTGCTATGTAGTAAGAGGATATTATGTAGATTTATGCTAAAGTTAATAAAATTGCAATTTTGCAGTTTTGGGTGGTAGAAGTTGTGTATAACTAAGTTGAACATGACAATAAGAAGAATATTATGTTGTTCGTGCATAAATCAATGAAGGATAAATTACTCTGCGATTATACAGTTGAAGTGGCATCAATTGCATGTAACATAATTCAAAATTGTCTTGGGAGATTTAGACTTACACAATCATGATAGAAAATGCATGTACATTTTTACTTGAAACATTTTAGATTTCTTCAATAGACTTTACATATATTTTTCTCCTTTATTTAGTTTCTATAATGCAATTTTTTTATTGATGGATTGAACTTTTCATTTGGTTTCTTAATTTTACACTTCATTACTGCCCAACAACTCTCTTGTTCTGATTGACTAAAATATATCATACATTATGAATTCTCAGTTGCATTTGAAGTGAAAAGTCCAATATTCTTCAACTAAGAGTAATTTACTTTTTCTTGCAGGGTGAACCTTTATGCGTTTTTTATTCTCGTTATGGTATTTGCAAGTTTGGCCCAAATTGCAAATTTAACCACCCAATGGCTGCCCCAATGGGCATTCTTGCTTATAATCTTTCAGCCTCATCATCACCTGATGTCCCAGTTGTTCGTAGACTATTGGGCTCGTCGTCCGCGATTCCTCCATTAACCTTTTCATCGGACGGATCTCTCGAAACCAGCCATGGTAAATCTCGACACCTCGCATTGTCTGATTCGCAGCAAATGGATTCCGGCGACGAAAATGTTGAATCGGATTGATGTCAACACATGCCAGGTTTCCTCATTTTCTTTTCTCCACGGGTTAAAAATTAAACATTACACCTGTGTATATATATTGAGTCATTGGTGTATATTTTTCTTTGATGAGTTTATATTGTTCATCAAAACTTGAAAAAAAAAAAAAAAAGGGGAAAAAACTTATGATTATGAACTCGTATTATGTTGTATTTTGTGTGATGTTTCCTTCAAAATATATAATAAGGAGAAATTTTCTCTTCAAGGCTTCCCTCTTTAACAACACATCTTCTCTAACCATCACTTCATTACAATAATATTACATTTTTTTCGCTAGCGAAGAAATCAAAACTATTCTTCCCAACTTATTTTCGTCGAAGATGTCGATCTAGGAAGCAAGACTATTTTGAAATACTGGGTGCAGTATACAGCACATCTCTGACATGGCCCGACTTATATGATTAAGTCAAAAATGATAAAATTAATAATGATAAATCCATGTACAAATATGTGACAATTAACAATGATAAATCAGTTCATACTATATTATTCTTAAGCTTCTTTTATGAAAGATGTATCTATGATATATTTTAGGGGCATTTAAATACATACCACGAAATTCTTATGTATTTGCATATGTATACCACTTCTAAAATGTGAAATACATATATTCATGCTTTGTGAAGGCGGTATGTATGTAAATGCATAGGAATTGAGTGGTTTGTATGTAAATCTTACAATATTGCATTTTAGATATTTTATATCAATAATTCATAAAATACGATATTCTCCCAAGACGTCCCATGTCCTATTTTTAGCATTTATGCAGTTTTTTCGCAACATTGTTGCATCTTATCCGTGTTTGTGCTTCATAGATGTGGATCCAACTTATTCAATGCAACCATATCATATGAAATTGATGCTATGAAAATCATTTTTATTGTAGTTCATCCTCATAAGTTTAATGTCTCTATGATCAGATTTCAGAAAATAATTGCAGTTGCATACAGGTTTGGCTTCTACCTCTGAAATCTTTGGCTGGATTAATGAAATCTTCAGGCATTTTCTGTGAGAGGCACAGAAGAAATTCATGCCTATCCTCTTTTCTGCTTAATGAATAAGATCATTGAAGGTTGATCTCAGTTCAATCTCTGCTGTTTATGTGATTATTATTATTATTAATTTTTTTGCCTTTGTTAATCATTTTACATTGTGCTTCTTAGAGTTTTAATGTGAAAATATATTGTGAATAATTTATACTTAATTAATTTAATATGTGCATTTTGCTATGTTTTCATTGATTCTTACTTTACAGTGATAAATTGTTGGAGCAATGTTTCCATGTATTTACATATCTTACACCAAAACTTTTGTTTTTTTATATTTTTACCATCCATCATGCAAAGGTAAGGTCATATGTATGTAAAAATTGAAATATAGTTGTTGTATATGTAAATAAGTTGGAATTGAGTGATGTATGTAAAACATCTGATTTTATATTAGGATGCCTCAAGATCAGTGGTTTATTTTGGGATTGAATGCAATATAAATTTCAATTAATTTTCTTATTTCATGTTAATTTTATAATTTCAATATACTATAAAGTTTATGCTTGCATGACTGGGAATTTTGAATTCACATAATTGTCTAAAATGCAATTTCTATTAAAGTTCTTGCCCTTTATTCTCATACAATCTCTAGAAAACAATTCATGAAATATGGAGTGTTTGGTCTGATCATTATGTTTTTTGTGCAAAATTAATCTGACATATCTAAACATAACTAATTAGCTTCATAAGAGAAAAATTACCTTGTCCCTCTTTTACTATGGCCATCATTATGAATGACATCATTATCAGGTTCTAGTTATGCATGGCTTGGGCAGCATAATAATGTTTCATGCCAAGTACAGGCTTCTCATAGTTTCGATTGTAGTGATTGTAGTGCTCATAATGAGTTTGCGGACTCCCAGTAATATATACCTTCATGTGTGTTATATCGGGTCCATCTGAAAAAATATTAATGTAGAGCTGTGAATTCCACAATCACCTCAAAATAACTTAGAAATAGCATCTGTGGTTTCATTTCAATAACCCTAAAATAACATTGTGGATGTTATTTCGTTATTTTGGGGTTATTAAAGAGAAACTCATATATTTCATTTCAATAACTCTGAAATAACACAAAAATAATCTTGAAATAATCTTCGTAGTGATATTTCGGGTTATTGAAGTAAAATCGCAGATATTATTTTCGGGTTATTGAAGTGGAATATATGAGTTTCTCTTCAATAATCTCGAAATAATCTTCATGGTTGCACTTCAATAATCCTGAAATAACTTTCGTGATGTAGCACATATGACGACATATTATTGGAGTACGCATGTAGAGCTACATCCGGAGTTCGAACAGAAAATTTTCCCGTGGAGAATAACCATCATTCCTTTTTAGATGCCATCTGGTGAGGTTGAGGAAGGGTTTATGTTTTAGGTGGATCTAATTGTCGCTAGAATATGAAGATAATGAGGAATGATATGGAGATGTGGATGAGGGAGAGGAAGAGGAATGGGCTTAACCGGACCATGTTCTTCTTCTTTAATTTGGTATTTACGAATTGGATCGATATTTTAGCCGTAGTCGTTCCGGCCTTCCAACCGTTAATCGTTCGAATCATCTTTGAATTTCATTATAGGTTGTTTTGTTCAAATATTAGAATGCATAAATATCATTACACATTGGTTTTTTAAAAAAATACAAATTATTATGAGATAAATTTTGATTATACTAATAATTCTTGAATTCTTATAAGTAAATTAAAATAATTATGTATATACTATTATGCATAAACAGAATAAATTTTTATGTTAATAAACAGGGGTGTAAACGAGTTGAGCACGAGTTGAGCCCTCGTTTATATTTCAAGCTCAAAAAGTGTGTTAGTGTTGGACTTGTTTGCTTAGCCAGCCGAACACGAGCCGTTCAGGAGCAAAGAGTCGTTTTGACAACCCTAATCAGGTGGTCATAAAATGTTAAGGATTCGGACAAGATTTAAAAATTATTATTTATATTAAAACATCATTTGAATCTAATTTAATAATTTTTATTCTATTTTCTTAATTAATACTTATAAGTGATTATAAATATTTATAGCCTTGTAGTCAATTAAGTTTTTTAAAATTACTACTCATCAAATATATATATATATAACTGATTTGTAGTATTTCGAGCTAACACGAGCCGAACACGAACGAACAAACCTTTCTTCATGTTGTACGTGTTCGGTTTGTTAACTTAGCGAACGAGCCGAGCACGAGCTGTTCAGGAACAACGAGCCGTTTTGATAGCCCTATTAATAAATGAAGTGCTTAACATCATAAGTCTAAATAGCTAAAAAAGTATAAAGTTTAAACAAAAATTTATTATCTATGATTTGTTATCACTAATTAGAGTGTATTTGGAAAGAATTTTCACATAAAAAGAAATAATGAAAAGTTTAAAAAAATTCGAGATAGCTCCTAGGAGACAACAAAATGGTAACTACGACTCCAACTCAATGTTATTAAAAATTAGTAATGGCATCTTTGCACTATTTATATGGGCAAAAATATTAATTAAAATTTATGTTACAATACTATTTTTCATATTTTATGTTAAAAATATTCTTGGCTATCTTGCAATTGCTTCTAATCTTTTGATTCTACAGAGTGCACGGTATAATTACACCAAGTGCGGCGTATCTATGCCAGGGACAATTTCTCTTGTGATTCGGTTCTTAAGGCTCTAAATGGAAGTGAAGGGTACATGAACAAAACATTGCTTGCAGAACTCTCGATGGTGCTCAGTGTAGTCAAGGTCAAGAGTATGGATTTTAGTGGTGATTTTTCTTGTGCAGATTTGGAGCAAAGTTTTGTAAGTTGTAATGATAGTAGAGAGATGATCTGACTGTTAAAATTTACGTATTTTTTCGTTCATTTATAGTAAAATTTTGGTGTGGTGTGACTCATTGATTTTTTCTCACTCTCTGGCTTTTCCACGTAAATATTTATTGTGTTTTTTCAAATGACTTTCTGTGCATTTTATTTCTTTTTTTTTTGTTTTGTATTACAAATTATATATATTATTAATCTCTATATTTTGAATGAGAATGGAAATAAAATATTTTCTTAAATTTTAGGAGATGTTTAGGATTTAGGCATTTGGGAAGTATTTCATAACACTATTAAATTTAATAAGATATTACAATCCTTGTGATCAATTATTTAAAATAATTAAGAAATAATAATTATATTAAAATACAATAAGTCATGTTAGAAAGTAACTTCTCATAATATAAAAGTTAATACTCATAAGGAGCTTGTGGAGCATAGCCATCATCCCTTAGTTTTATCCTGATCAATGAGATTGATGAAGGAGTATATCATTTATACTTGGATAATTTTTGATGTTGTAAATACAACTTCAAAATAGAAAATACAAAAATTTGATGCATGCAAATAATTTTATTTGCAATGATATGTAACTACAATGAGTTCCTCATGCAAGTTGGTTCTATGGGCAAAGTTGGAGGTGACTTGTGGAAACACAATGCATGACAATTTAAGGTTTTGTGAGACTATAGATCAGAAGAGTTTTAGATATGAGGGATACAAATTAATTATAAATTTAATTTGCTTTTGATCATAATAATTGATACACCATCAACAAATAGTCATCATTTGACATGAGTCTCGGGGCTTGACACGGAGATTGGGGTGATGTTTTGAACAAGAAATGTTCAAACCCCAATTAAAATTCATTTAGAGCTTCGATTTCAGTAGACTTACAATCAAACTGACAGATTCGATGAGACTGACATAATGATACCAAAAGTAGTCCAATCTGAACTAAATTAGGTCCAAATTAAGCAATTAAACCGTTTTTGAAAATTTTTTAACATATTTGAAAATCAAATGAATGCCAAATTTAGCGAGCTTGTAGTTGAATCGAGCGTCTCGACAAGACGAATCCAACGAGCTTAAGATCACACAATTTCACATCGTTAAGGCACTCAAATGTCCATTAAACGTCGTCTGATCGAAAGAATCTCACTAGATCGTTAAATTAGAGTTGTTCATATTGTTTCATTAATTGCAATCAAGACTCTATAAATAATGTCCTACTCCCTTCTTGAGGGGGAACTAGGAACTTGAAACCTGAAGAAAACTGATCATTTTTGCACGGACAATCTATCAACCACCAATCGTCGACCATCGCCAACCACCACTCGCCGACTGCCGCCAATCATTGTCCAACGCCGCCCACTTCTTACGACGAATTTATCTACACACCGACATTGTAATTCAAGAGATTACAACTCTTTCCTGCATGGTTTTGTAACTGTAATTATCAATTTACAGTGAATCTTTTCAATTGGGTCAGACCCCGTAGTTTTTTTTATTCTTCCGATTTTCTACCTAAAAACTTTTTGTGTATGTACCGATTGTTTTCTTTTATCTGAGTATATGATGAATCTTTCTACAACGCTGAGGCGAGAATCTGTTACTCTATCGTCGTAAATTTTATAGCACACATCAGTAATAATGAATTAGTTTTAATGAACAAAGTGATTAAATGATATTTACATGGGACCGTTTTAGTCTCAGAGTTTATAAAATTATCAAAATAGTCGATGACTATTCCTTCATGAAAGACTATTTCAACCCCAAATTTAAAAATCTAGGAATAATTTTGATATTTCTATAAATTCTAGGACTAAAAGGAGCCAATAAAAACTATTGAAAATAATTTTTGGAACTTTACTTATAATCTAAACATAAGATCTAGTTTATTAAAATCTAAATTTAATAACATTAACATAAATTGAAGCGCACAACAGCTAAATTAGGTTAAAAAGCTGCCTTCCTCACAGAGAACCCTTATCGCGAACCAAAACCCTAACGATGATCTACGACGTCAATTCTCCTCTCTTCCGCTCCTTTCTCAGCCAGAAGGGCGCATCCTCCGATAAGCGGTACCATCCTTTCTTTTCATTCCTTTCTTGTGCAGAGATTGTTCTCACTTCCTTTTTTTTTTCTGTTCTCGATCATTCTCGTGCTGTGGTTGGAAAATCTGAGAAAGAAGTTTATTTTTGTGTTGATGCTTGGCATATGGACTGTGTTGTGTGAAGAAATCTTAGTTTTCTGTAAAAAACGTGATTCAATAAGAGCGTTAAAAAATGTTTTGGATTTTGATCCGATTTGCGATTAATTCTAAACCCCTTTCAAGGTCTCCTGGAGTCGAGATTGGCTGGTGTTCTTACAACCTCGAGTTGCTAGTTTTTACTGAAGAGAGAGGGGTTTCTGTCTTTCAATATATTTTATTGAAAGACAGTAATTTATTCTAAAACTTCAAAAAATACTTTGGATTTCGATCTATCAGCTTCAAAATAGTGTGGAAACAAAATTGTCATCAGCTAGTGGAAGCTCCTTTCTTTGAAGATGATTGTTGTTCTATATTAGCAGTTTTTTGCTATTTAAATTTAATTAGTATTTAATTAATTTCATCAGCTACTAAATATCTAAATTTGATTGTGATTGGTGATTTTTTTTTGTGATTTGTAGACCCTCAACTGTGATTACATGAGAGTATGATTATAGTCAGAAGATTCAACCTGTTTATTATCACTAATTAATCACACTTACTTGATTGCTAATCATGTTGAGGATATAATTTAATATGTTGAGTAGCTGATTGATTATAATTTGAAACCATTAATATTCAATATTTAGAAACTAAAACTAGTGAAATTTTATTATATTTATTGACTAATTTGTTATAAGAAGCTAATAATTCATTTTTTGAGGTTTAGGGGTGTAATAGAGCAACTCATGAGCTGCGCTTGTCAAGTAATGGCCCAAACTTAAACCAATCTAGGCTCGTTCATTGGCTCAATTTTCTTCATTTTTTTATTCAAACAATCATTTATTTTTTAAAAAAATGAAACTTTGAAGGTCCTAAGTGAAAATTAAAGAAAAAAACTGATATCTTTATCCGCACCCCACCCCCCCTTCTCTCTCCCACTTCCGCCCTCTCCCACCCTAGTGTCTTCCTACTCTTATGGTTTGGTAATTTTCTTCTTCTTCTTCAATTTTTTATTATTTAAGCTGGTTTGGCATAGATTTGAGTACAAAATTGATTGGTTGAGCTGAGGTAAGCTCAAGATGAGGTGGATCAAGTCCTAAGGAAGGCTTGAATTATTTACACCCATTGGTTGTATCAATTGTTTACTTTATTATAAGTAGGATTTCATATAGGTTTTTGACTTGACATCCGTCAAGTTAGTTGGAAGTTACTCTTTATGTGCTAATACCTTCAATAAATTTGGGGTAAGGCATAGGGGTAGATTTCTATCTTCAATCATATGTAGATCAAAATAGAATACTAATATGGTCACCCTTGGGGAGACCACCTAGAACTATGAAAAATGGACCTCAAACGGAATGGATAAATATAAAGAGTGAAACGAGGACAAAATACTTCTTTTATTGGAGGGTAGGTGGCCGATAGTGTTAAGTTTTGGTCTGTAATAATAAGGATTTTTAGCGACATTTTTTATTAGAACACTATTTACTAGTGATGCTTCATAATTTAATTTGTTTTTGCTGAAAGTAAATAAGGATTGACAGTTTACTATGTCTCGAATTAAGATTAGATTTCTACATGATATTTTTTTACTTTGAATGTGACTATAGGAGAATTAATATGCAAAATAATTAGAATAAGAATAAATATTACTTATTTGCAATAAAATTAATTGAAAGGAAGAAATTCAAATATGTTGATGAATGTTAGAAAAATTGTTTGCTTGGAGGAATAACAGTAGAAATGGGGTAAGGGTTGTAGTGGTCAAGAGTCTAAAGATAAAATTCGTGAAATGAATAGGATTAGTAATAGAGTACTGACTATTATATCAATTATTTGTGTGGATCTTACAGATTTGTTACTAGTTAATTATTTATAAGAGTTATATTAATGTGTTAGTGCTTATTCTCCTTACTGGATTGTAAACTTTCTTAAAAAACCAATTTTAGAAAGGCGGGGCTGATTAGACCTAAAGAAAAGAGGATAATTATTGATTGTAGCTTGAATAGACATATAGATAGGATATAATATAATAGGATTTATTGTGGAGCGTAATAAGATAGAAATGCAATGAGAGAAGCTATACTTGATTTGATAGTAACATGCGATCAATTAATCTTGAACACATGCTAAAAATGAGATAATAATTTAATTTCTTTTAGAAGTTAAGCCACCAAATTTAGAATCTATGTTGCATTGAATGAAAAAATTGTGAAGTGATTTAAAAAAAAATGTCTTTTTTTTATCTGGATTACGATTGAAGAAATCTTACTTTTCCAAGGAAATATTGATTCGATAAGAAATCACTTCTATTCTCTCTTGAAGGTCTATAGGAATGTAGCTTGGTTGGTGTTTTTAGAACCTCGGATAGCTAGTATTTAATAAAGAGAAAAGAAAAAATTGCACCTTAAAACTTAAGAACATAGTTATGATAAAATTTGAAGCATGGGAAGCTATCTATTTTTTTTAGATATGTTGCTTACAGAAATAGCTAGAATTCTTTTATTGAGCCAAATTTACTGTGGGATAAGATGATTGATTCCATTTAAAATGTTGAAATAATAGTAGATTTTAGAAATAAATAAGGAAAATTGGTAAGTGAGAGGGCTCAAAATCTATGAAATTAAATGCTTCTAAAGATTGGTAGAAAATTAATAGTTTAGTCTTATGATGATTATAAAGAAGCTATAATTTTTGTGAAGAATCTAATGAGAAAGAAAAGCTACAGTTCTTAATAATTTATATAATCGGCTAAGTATAAACGAAAGAGAAAACATAAGATATATGTAAATTAGCTAAAGCAAAATGTATGAGAGCTAATTGTTTTGATTATGCTAGATGGATCAGGGATGAAGATAAGATTTTTCGTGAAGATGAAAATAACAATGAAAGATAAAATTGCCTTTTTAAGAAATTAATTAAGAAATTTGATGTTTAATTTTCTTAGAAGAGCATTATAAATGTATAATGAGTTATATTATAGATTGCTAAATAAGATGAAGTTGAATAAATCTTTAAGAAGATACATAAATGTAATTTTTTTTGTCCAAATAATATTTGAATAGTTACGAGTGATATACTTATTGAAATTGGAGAGTTATGAGTGAGACTGTAGTGATTTGATTAATAATTTTTTTCAATTGAATTTTGAAGAGTAAGAGAATAATGATAGGAGAAAGCATGTTGGTGGTATTATTTATGAACAAAGTAGATGCATAGCATTCTGGATGTTATAAATTAATCACACTTAGTTTTTGAATGACTAATGTGTTTCCAATCAAAAGAGCATAAGATTCGGTTTTTATTCTGTAATTTTTTTTTTGTATTTATTTTGGACAAATTTATGAATGATATTCAAAGTGAAGCGCTTTCAATTGTCTTTTGTGAATAATATAGTTATAATTGGTGTGACAACTACCGAAGTAAATAAACAGTTAAACAATGAAGAAAATGTTTATAATTTTGAAAGGTCGGATTGATAAAAGAAATTTTAGAGTAGATGACATGTAACTTTAGTGAGTGTGATATTAACACTAATTTATCAAGTAAAGAGATGCAGTACCTAGCATGATAGTTTTGAGTTCTTTGATTTATCATATAGAATATTATTTTTATAAGATTAGATAATGGCACCATAGCAGTTTACTGTTGATAAGATATGGTATGGTTTTCATGATTTCTAAGAGCTTTGACAATATCACATTTTTGCTGTCTTGTTTGCTTCCCTCAGTTAAGGTTGTCATCATCCAATCTTATGAACCCTAAAATCCTAATTCTTAAATATAATGATATATGATTTCATATTACGTAACCTAGTAATAAACCTAAATATGGGGCATTTACATACATACCAGCCAATTCTTATGTATTTACATATCTAACACCTGAACATTACTATTTACTTTCATAACACCCAAATTTTTCTTTCATATCACTTCAAAAATATCACCACTTTAATTTTTAAAAAGAGAAATATACCTTTTCATGCATAGGTAAGGTGGCATATATGTAAAAATTGAAGTTTAGTTAGTTTGATATGTAAATTTATAGGAATTAAGTGGTATGTATGTAAATCTTCCAAAAATTTGAAGCCCAACTTATGGTATATTTTTGTAATGTGTGATGAAGATATAGAATCTCAAACCGTTTGTTTGTTGATTTATTTAAGATGGATTCGACTTGCAATTGCTGCTGCAATCTCTTTATTTATTCTGTATCTCAAGATTATTTATATCTTAAAAACTTGCCTGGAAAAATTAAGTTATATATATATATATATATGTATTCATTCTCTATGTGCTCAAGCAAATATGAAAGTACATATATTTGGAATGAACATTTCAGTTAATGGTGATTAAACCAGTACTTAATTTGTTGATTTTTGCTATGGAATATTACATATTATTTTTATTTTTATTTATTTTATTTATTTTGGGGAATTTACATACATAGCACACAATTCTTATATATTTACATATCCAACACCTAAATTTGCTTTTCATATTTTTACCACTCCAATTATTCCTATCATATCAAAATTATCACTATTTTAACTTTTAGAGAGTGAAATATGTAATATTTTATGTTTAGGTAAGGTGGCATTTATGTAAAAATTGAAGTGTTGGCGTTAAATATGTAAATTAGGGGTGTAATCAAGTTAAGTCGAACTCGAGCCACCCTCGGCTTGAGTTTAAGCTTGATCTTGATTAATTTTGTGGAGTTTGAGCTCAAGTTTAAAAGATTTTAGAGGTGATAACACAATGATAAAATTGGACATCAAGAAGGCCTATGACACCCTTAGTTGGAAATTTATACAAGATGTGCTGAAAATTGTGGGATTTTAACAACCCTTCTGTACCTCTTATTCAGAGAATCCTCACCCACAACTTCTACTCTATCATAGTGAATTTTTCTTCCTATGGTTTCTTTGAAGCTACCGGAGTTATTAAACAAGGTGATTATTATCTCCAACCATCTTCATATTAGCTTTTGATTATCTTTCCAGATCCATTGAGCACCTTTTTAAGAACAATCCCATTGTTTGTTATAAATTTAACCGACTTGTTTATCATAAAAGAGAGAAAATAATATAAATATGAGTTAGTGTTACAATAAAACGATAAATAGAATGAACAATTAGGAGAGAAATAATAAGAAATCACTTAATATAAAATATAAAATATTATTTTTTATGAACTTTTTTAATAATTTAAAGATAAAGTCTTCAAATTTAATATATTTTGAGTATCTTTTATATTAATGTTTTTTTGAACGAATTGGCTCACAAGCTAACGAGTCGAATCAGGGCTAGCTTGAGCTTGGCTTGTTAACTCATCGAGCTCAATTCATGAGCCACTTATTGAGCCTGACTCACTTATACCCCTAAAGTAAATACATAAAATAATTGAGTGTTATCTGTGTTTGTTTCTCATTTTTTTGTTATGGAATATTATGAGAACCTAGAAATGTTAAATTTTTCTGCTTTTGTTTGGTGAATTCTGCTTTGATCCAAAGGCTTTTTCTGGGCATATTTGAGCAGGAAAAATGAAGAGCAGAAGCCAAAGGAGCAGAAGCCGAAGGCAAGTGAAAACAAGCCTGTAATGAATGAGTGATCTTGAGAAAAAGGAATTGTAGCATTTATTTCCCTAAATGTCTGATGAACTATTTTGGTTTACCAGATTTATGTTCTGGAGCTTTGATGCTTAATCCTTAATATTGGTCTATGATTGTCGTTTTATTATCTATGTTAGCTTAAGATTACTTGTAAAAATTCGACTTTTGTTCAAGTTAAACATCAATTTTTGTGCTCTTGATTCAAGTTACACCAAACCTGCACAAGTTTATTTCCTTTCACATTTTATTTTTTAATTGAAAGGCCAATCATACAACTAAATACAAACATCATACGAGAGTGGCTACACACCTAGAAATATGTTCTTAGAATGAGATATTTCATATGATGAAAGAGTTTTTACTCCATACTCCAATATGAATTCTAATCTCCACTTTCAAATCTAAATTGTCAGTTCCAAAATGTAAATTCACTTGGAAATCACATCTACATTGCCAAAATTGGAATTTCGGCAATGAAAAATAAATTTCAAAGTGAATCTTTAGCACGGATCTTACAAATTAGCTTTCAAAGTGTATTTTCATTTTGCAAGTGGAAATTAGACTTTGCAAAGTAGGAAAGAATCATTACTTTTTACATATGAAATATATTTTTTTAAGAAAATATTTCTAAGTGTGCAATTAATCGTGTAAGGGGTTGTGACACCAAGCATATTTAGTTCTATGATTGGCTTTAAAGTTGGAAATAAAATATGAAACAAATATGCCCGTGATAGGGTTGGAGTAGCTACGATTGCAGTTAATATTAGAAAGAGACGTCATGAATCTAATTAAATCGTTAAAATAAATTTTTTTTAATACGAAACAACAATTACCGCTTGAAAATTGACTTATTTTAATTTTAACTCAGATTTTCTTAGAGCTGACAACAATTAAGCTTGAAATTAAAACGTTAACATTCTACTAAGACTCTTAGGGCAGTCGAAGATCGATAATCAAAGAATATTTATTAATATCTTATCTTTAATTTTGTTTATCATCATAGTTACAAACTCATTCATAAGTATATTTAATTCACATTTTATCTACAAGTATAAAATCAGTGATTCGTATGTGGTTTGCGATTGACTTTTCACTTGGAGACAGAATATGAAATAATTATATATGTGAGCGGATTGATGTTGCTACAATGACATACACTATTAGATGAAGACGCCTTAATCAATTACAAGTCAAAGTTCGATTGTTTAATGATCTTCGATATAACTAGCATACTAAAATGTTAAACAATTCGACTTCAAGCCGAGATGACGTGAGTTCCAATTAACAACTTGAAATCTATATTATCGTCACTTTGAACTATAGACCCGAGATATATAGAACATTCAAACCATTGAAATGATTTGATCACTTGTAGTTACAATTCTATCACTAGAACTGGTGTTAGTAAAATTATATTTCAAGTATTAAGTTCTAGATCTATTTAAACGGAGGACTTCAAACTCCAACATCTACTTCCATAATTTAAGTATTTTCTAAACTCTTTCTTTAGTTTTATCCTCGAGAAAGATATCACCAGCATAGAACATACACCAAGGTGCATCCTCCTTTAAATGTCTAGTAAGAGCATCTATAAATAAAATAAAAATATATGTGATTAAAGTCGATCCCTGAGGTAATTAAGGCTATTAACGATCTGATTTCAAGCTGAGTTAGGGTCGCTAAAAAATTAGTTCGAAAAAAAATTGATCCAAAATTTTGGCTCGTAGCACTGCTCCTTTATTTCAATCTAATCTCGTTTTGATCCAAAATTCGAATCAATTTTTAGAGTGATTAATGATCTTCTAGCTAAAATCGTTAAATTCACAGTCATATGTTGTTAGTGATCGGATTTCGAGCCAAGTTGGGGCTGGCTCAAAATCAACTCAAAAAAATTTTGATCCAAAATTTTGGCTCGCAGCACGACTCATTTATTTCAATCTGATCTCAATTCGAGCCAAAATTCGAAACAATCTTCGAGCGATTAACAATGTTGGAGCTAAACTCACAGTTCAAGATGTCATCTAACTAAAATAGGAAAATATTTGACAAACCTCCTAAATGCAAAACCCTAAACCCTTAATGTATTCTTCATAACAAATGAAAATAAAAATCAAAATGAAGATAATATGTTACTTTTCTCAGTTGTTTTGAGTTGCAGTGGAGCCGAAGGAGGAAAAAAGTGGGAGTTTCTGGTCACTGTAAGTCGTCATCCAACTGTTGCGTTCCCAACTAGCTAGTATTCTGACTGTATCGTAAGTGATTTAGGGACAAAGATGAAGGTGATGGTTTCGGGGAAATGAAAAGAGCTTCATGCCTAGGGTTCTAGGGAGAGGCGAGGGTTTCTGTTGGAGAAAAGCCGCGAGAGGAATTAGGACCAGCCCGAGAGGGAGGCCAAATCCGGCGAGATATAGGATTTGTTTCGGCGGTCTATCATCAACATTAATTGCGTTGGTTATTAAAACTATTACCGACAACCACTCTCGTCGTTTAATAATAAAATGCATCAGTTAAAATCCCGTCGGATTGCCTATTCAAAGATAACTGATAAACTATACCTGTCGGGTAATATTTACTTATAACCGACGGACTAACATGTCAGTTATAATTAAAAATAGTTGGGAAACAAAATACTGTTGATAAGCGACAGTTTATGTTGTAGTTATGTCGTCGTAAATAACCAAAATAAAAAGTCATCGGTAATTACAATAATTTTTCAGACTAGTAAAAAGTCACTTATTCTTTTGTCGGTTTTAGTATTTTTTTTCCTACAGTGATCCATAAATTTCTCATGGTCAAGAGAAACAGAGGGTGTCAACTTTATTTCTTCTAACAACTTCTTTTATTAATACTTTTTTATTACTTTCGTGAAGTGAAGTCCTTGTTGTATAAATTTATTTATGAATTCACTTAATTTTAGATTCATCTCCCACTTATAAAAGATATATGAAATTATTTTTGGGGCAAACAAATTTAACAATGACTTTAAATATCAAATTTTTCTTACATTCCTTCTAAGTAAATACAATTATTTCCTTAAATCATCAAAATATGCACTTTATTAAATGCAACTTCATGTTGTATTCGTTCATGGTTATAATTGTTGGTTCGGAAGTTCGAAAGATGAAACAAGCACATCATCAACATATTAGTTCTAGATTTCTTCCTTCTATCATCTAAAGATCTTCTCCATTATTCATTAGTTAGTTAATCATATAATTTTTTAGATGTAAGGTCATAACTTCATAGAATAATGCTTTTCTATTCTACAAGTTGAGCCCTTAGAAGCATAATTATTTTGATTAAAGAAAGAGTCAACATCAACAAGATTGGTGTAGGAGATAAGCTCATTGATGTTGCACTTATATTTCTCCCTAAGACTAAATGAATCAAAATCAAGAAGATAAAGACGAATTATTGATGATAATTAATACTCTTATTTTTCTTCGTGCGATTAAGGTCTATGTGGGGCAGCTGCAGCTTATTAAAAAACAGCTGTGAAACTGCAAAAAAATAATCTGATGTTAAAAAAGTTGCGGTAGCTATTATATATATATATATATATATATATAATGTTAGACAGTAGCTAGTAAGTTGTCACTCACCTAGCCATGACTGGTGGGAAAACACAGATTTCAACGGTAGCTTTCTGAAAAAACTGCCAAAACACCATTTACCCAAACAGACAAAACTACAGTATTGTGTCGCACCGTCATTGCACCGCTGCCCCAAACAGATAGTAAGCCCAAGCTAAAACTTAAAATTATGATTATACATACAACTTGTTGTTGAACACATGAGTATCATTGATGCCATATGTGAAAATAATTCAGCATATTTATTTGATTATACATAACAATATCACAAGAGATTGGACACCACTTAATTATGTTGTGAAACAATAATTAGATATATTTTTGTTATGATTACTTAAATTTCCAACACACTATAATGTAAATTCTACTGCCATTTTCATAAATTCCTTGTTCTATTACATACATAGCATGAATTTTTTATGTATTAAATATTTGACACCTAATGCTTATATTTACATCCATAACCCTCAAATCTTTAACATCACAACAAAAATATTGATTTCACTCGACTTTTTAAAAAGAGTAAAGTGCCAAAATTATTCCAGACTATTTACACGAGACCGTTTTAGTCTTAGAGTCATAGAAGTGATAAAATAGTCTACAGACTCTTTAAATTGAGACTGAATTAGCCCCCATGAAGGATTATTAGAGCTCAATTTTAAAGTAGTTAGGAATTATTTTGACGCTTCTATAAACTCTGCGACTAAAACGCCACAATATAGATTGTCTGGGACTAGTTTGACACTTTACCCTTTTTAAAAATCAAATGCACTTTTTTATGCATAACTCTATAACAACAGGGTTATAAATGTAAATATCAAATTCATCTTGTTAGATATGTAAATTCATGAAAGTTCTGAGTATTTTTGGAAAAATAGATATCATAATATTTAATATTTTATAAATATAAATAGAATATGAATATTATTATACGTTATTTTTTATATTAATTTTAAAAATGAAAATTTAATTGCAGAAATGAGAAGAAATGGCAGAAAAAAAGGTGGACCTGAAGAGGATTCATGGAAGTGTGGAAGAGCTTACGAATGAAGAATACACGAGTGATATTGGTTCGGCTCGTCTCTAATTATCTTCGAACTCAGTAATATTACGTGTGTCATGCAGATATACGAACGACGGATGGATTCAATCACATCACCATATGTGAACGGTGACTGATCGAATCTACACCGTCCGCACATCTGAATATCCGGACGTAATATTTTTCGTTAGATATCCGGAGTTGAGTCGAATCAATATCACGTCGTGTCTTCTTCTTCTTATTCTTTCCCTTCTTATTCGATCTCTCTTCCATCTCCTCCTTTCTTTTTTCCATCCAAACTCCATTGGTTGGATATGAGGAGATGGTGTGAGACATGAAGATTGTGTGGATGGTTACCTCTATATATATATATACCATACAATTTCTATGTATTTACATAAGTAACACATAAACTTCACCATTTTTACATTTGTACCACCCATTTTTTTCATATAACGTGAAAATACCATAATTTTATAAGGTGACAAGTATGTAAAATTGACTTTTTGGTGTT